CTAAACATATAGTTATAGATAATGTGTAATGCTTACGTAGATCTTCGTAGATCCCTGGACGAGCCTACCTACTATAAGCATAATTGTAAATATGTAATTTTAACAGTTTTATTGCCTTAATAATAAACCTTTTTAACACTTACGATACCATGATGCGGTTAAACTTGACAACGGAATTTATGTTTAATTATTGTTCATAGCGACCAACTGAATGCCGTTTTTCGGGTCTCTTACATATTCAAACCAATGTACCATTAATTAAACCGCGCAAGTATAGACATTTACCTCCTCCAGCATTTCGAATGTTAATCATGAAAGGTCGAAAGAATTTGTTTGTTTGAACTCATCCGGGAATAGTTACTTGAATGGTGTTGTTTAAAGGTGTTTTTTCATCAAAATAAAACAACAAAACCGACCTGCAATGACTCACTCAATATACATTTTCTATTTTATTTAGAGCAGTTCTCTATCTCATTATTTACCAAAAAGATTCATTTATAAATAATACCTTATTTCGATCAAAAATATGTGATGGTAAGAATTTAATTATAATATAATATTGCTTCGAGATGATTTGTGTGCATCTCTTTTAAATAACATCGTTATAAAAGCAAAACGATAGACAACAGAAATCAAGAATTATGAATGGAAAACCAAGTGACCACATTTCCTAACGAGGACTTTAAGTACGAGATAGTTACTCTAAAAGCTCGAAGCAAAGGCTTGTAATAAGCTATATTTCAAAAATACAATGATCGCAGAGGTTTTCTGACAATTGCCGAGTGGTCTGAATTTCCGAACTCTATTTCATTTTCACTTCGTTGTTAATTGTTTAATAAGTCAGTTTATCCAGTATTCGCAATGGGAATGTGTTAAAAATATAATAAAGATAATAGTAGTTTATATCGTGTTTGATTAAATTCTAGTTAAACTGCCTATTTTTTATTGGTTGTACAATGTCATTTAGGATGAAGTAAGTAAATAAAAAAAGATATTGAATTGAATAGTACCTAAATGTATGTCCAAAATGATTCATGGAATGATAGTGGAACCGCTCTTTGTAATATTTATAAGTCATTATTTATAATTTCACAACAACTCGGATTTATATTCTTATACTTATTCACAATATAACTAATCACTAGAAGTTTGCTTAGCCAATCGATTCAAAAATTGGTATTTATTGGAGTTATAATTGATAGTACATAAAATATGACAGATACTTTTATCTTATCCTTTAAACGAGCAATTCTTGTATATATATATATATATATAATCGGAATCTCGGAAACGGCTCCAGCGATTTTCATAAAATTTAGTATGTGCATAGATTCGGGGGCGAAAAATCGATCTAGCTAGGTTTCATTTTTAGAAAATGTCCTTTTACCCCTGTTTTCAGGGAATGAAAAATATAATTCGAATATGACGGTAAATTTCGCCGCAAGAGAAAATGTCATAATAGCTCGGTCGGTAATCGGGCGGCCCCAAAACAGACGGCCGTGGTTTGCGTCACGATCATTTACACATTTATTTTTTTACTTTTTTTCCTTTTCCAGATCATTGCTTTCTTTATTTTTAATTTTTTGTCGATTTGTTATTATGTTATTTTTTTCCCCTTTTTTTTAAAGTTTCTTTTGTGAAAAACATCAGTTCATATTTTCTTATTATTACGTCGGTAAGATCGAAAAATATTATGCATATTTCATTACTCAGTAATTTGTATCTAAATGTAATTTCCAAAATACACGAGTTACCAAAAAAAAAACAAACCGAGCAAATCTCGGTCCTCCGGGTACTAATAATTTAAGCAGCAAAATTCTGAACCACTCAACGTTGTAACGTTTCAAGTAAGTTTGTTCTTCCTATGAGGAGATGTATTAATATTTTTACAATGTCATTAGTAATTAAAATGAGAAATCATCTTTGACCGATTGCAATTTTAATATGTGCACCAAAATGTGAGGAAAGTATACAAAAGAAAAATAAGGAAACATTTCAATACCGGTAAGTAAGAGGTACTTGAAAATGACTCGAGATTTATGAACATCTAAATCTGGTGTATCGCGTAAAGATACGGTTTGAGGACTTCGATATGATATAACTAAAGCATTATATAAATATTCCATTTGTACACAAAATTGCAAATGAACGGGAAGATTCAATACATATTCAAATAAATGTTCCATTTGTAAAAAAATGCAAACGAACGGGAAGATCTTCAAGCAATAATTGCTAACGCAGAATTAGTTTACGGCATATTTCGATACTGGCGGAGGCAAAAAGTTTGCGATAGTTTTTGTACCGATTTTTAAGTTTCATCTTAAGTACGGAGACTAGGTAGCACTAAAATTTTAAAAAATGTATATATATTTTTTAATTTATTTGTGTTTTTTTGTAAAGTTACATTATTTTACAGTTTGAATATAGTAATTCTTTGTGAGCTTGAAGCTTACAAACAATGGAAGTCGCCAAATCATGTTACATACATTTATTCGTCAAGGACAGTATCATCAATACCCAAATACATATTTCATTTATGTCCATGTAAATTGTGATTAATATTACCTATTGTATGATACCTATTAAATGTAGATGTTGTAGCAATTGCATGTAGCAGGAGGGTAGCAATTTTAGTTTTAAATCAATACATTTTGAAATTATGTAAAATTAAATTCCTAACGTAAGAAAACTTTTGAATGTCAGTTTTATTTAATAATACCTATTACAACTACTACAATAAGATGCAATATTATAATTAATTATTATCATAAAATTGGCCGTAATTGCTTTTAAGCATACTTCCGAACACCTTAAGACAACTTTTGAACACCAGACAAAACTGATGATGAATTTGTTATAGGCTATATCTCTCTATTGGTCTTAATGAAGTTTAAAGTGACATGTTTAATGTTTAAATGATTAAATGAAACAAACACATTTTCACGTATTTCCCTTCCTTCCTACAACTGAGACGTATCTAATGTTGAAATCCGTCAAAGTTTACGTCGTAAAGCATAGCAAAGCATTCCGAATACATAGATATATATACAAATATTCGAAAAAGGTTACCCTCCTTCGGCAGTCGCATTTATTTTATTTTCCACGCATCAAAATATTGATTTTGATGCGTGGAATTTCATTCCGTTCTCTTTTATAACTATAACTTTTGCCGCATCATTAAAAATCATTCTTCAGTGTTTATAGTCCTAGTCATTACAAAATATGATTGAAATTAATTTTTATTCTCTATGTTGAATTTAGGGGAAGCTTTCAAATGTTATTTTTTCACGTATCTATAACATTAAACGTTAATATATACCTTCTTAATTGTGTTAAGGTATTAATATTAACACTTTGAATATATAAAGGTTAGGCCAAGTGCAAACAAATGAATTATTTACTAAGATTATAAATGCGTTTGTTTTATGATTTATGTTTGCCGGACTTGGATTAAGTCGAACCGAATGTTCTATGACGCATCGTTTAAATAACCAACCAATTTGTTTTCTGATTTAGAGATTATTATTCAAGAATGTAAGGCCACTGCAACATGCATATAAAAAAATATGCATTTTTTATACAACTGAAACGTGTTGCGAGCAATAAATACAAATGCAATAAAACTAACGAGAGATAAAGAAAACAACGATGCAAATCAGAAATAAAGAATTAAGAAACAACTGCATTTCAATTTAAAAATTAGTTGCGCATTAAATCCCTCATGAACGACCTTCCTTGTACCCGAAAGTTCAGTTTTTTGCCGAAGACGAAACGCTTAAACATTATGTGTAGTGAACTTTTGTCACAAAAAGCATTAAAAACCGGTCATTTAAGATTTGGACAAAACGCATTGACGTTTACCTAAATATATTTAAACATAAATACTACGGTCGCGGCCCACGGCCCTATTGAAACTTAGTGTTTTTAAATCTAATATTTCTTATCCAATTATCTTACAATCCTATGCTTCGCGGTATTGTGCTCAGAACGATACTTAGTCAATTGATTTAATTACGCTACTTCATATACTAAATTCAATTCTTAGTTTTAGTGAGCTCTCTTGTCACTATTCACCAGTAGAATTAGGAATTGTTTTCAACGATTTACGAAATTCAATATTTTAATGACTTTTTAAGCATTAAAACATTATGAAATTATCATTGGAATTTATACGCGCTAAAGGCAACGGGATATAAATGCTTCAATCGACAATAATTACCTATATAAGACATAGTGTATTTAATGTAGTAAATGGATTAAATGAAAAATTTATGTAACATTTAAGAAACTCTCGCGCGATTTATAGTTATTTTTAACAATGATTTTCATAATTAATTTCGTTTATTCTTGCAAAATGTAATGGAATAAATCTATCAGAGAGTTAAATATTAAAATAAAATATATTCAACGAAACGCTTGGTGGGCAATCATGTTTATAGTAGTAACTCACTAGATATTTACAATCACTCTTAGCTACAATTTGTATGTGAACATGTAATATTAACATTAAATAGAATTAATGTATCTCAGTATGTTTGTCCTGCCATCCCAAACTAATATAACGCAAACTAAAAGTCGCCGCTAAAGAGGAAAGCAGAAATACCGAGACGGACAATATGACACATGCGTGTAATTTGCAATTACAAGGAGTCCACCAATAAATACTGCGGGTGTCCTAATAACTATGAGAAAAGTACGGACGGTATTTGAGAAAAATAACAAGTATCCTCACTCGACTTAACATCCCAACAGAGTGGACAGTGACAGAAAATACAACTTGTTTGAGCTTTGTTCAAAAAATATATCTGTCGTTTCCGTCGTCCACCAATTTTGTACAGCGATTAGTTTTGTGTTAATAGAAGGAGATAGTTTATAGCGTGCTAATTGCGAACGGAACTTCATCATTCGCCACGTATCGTGTTATTGAAGCGATAGAGTAGTTGCGCGGCGATATGCGCCAGTTAGTATAGTTATCAAAGTAATCAAACGGTTGTAGGTACTTGTAAAATAAAAACCTGGATTAGGTTGCGTCTGGTAGTTGGGCTTCTTCATCCACTCGTAGGGCGACCGGGGGGGTGGGGGGTGCGCGGGGTGCGGCGCCCTGGAGCCGGGCGAGCCCTCCCCGGGGCTGGCGAGGTCGCCCCTGGCCGGGGAGACCGTCCCGGGATCGCGCTCGCCCGGCTCCCGCTTCGGGAAATGCTCCGCGGGCCACTCCGCCCCGGGCGCCCCGTTCCACGCGCACCACTGCTGCTCCTCGAAGTTCTGGTGCTGCCAGCCGTACCAGCCGCCCGCGCCGTACTGCCCGCCCTTGCCTTGGTACATGGCGAGCGGGTTCACGTAGTTCACCATGCTTCGCACGCTCCGCGCATCACACACACTGGCAACACAACGTTCGGGCGTGGATGCTGCTCCGGGGACGTTGGGCCTGCGACTGGCGGCCGCGGCGGAGCGCCGGGGCGCCCTATCGCTGGGTGGGGCGAAGCCGCCGCCGCAGATAAGCCCCGGCCAATGGCGCGCCTCCGAAGCCCGCCTCCGCCCGCCCCGCTGCGCCTAATTGCCTCGGAATAATGGACCGCGCCCGTAATGAACCGTCGACTCACGCCGGAAAGTGCTATCGGTGATTTTATTTTTCGTCCGTTTTTGTTTACGTTTTATCTTTGATTATTCTCGAATCGGTTTTCTCCGGTGGCGGCACGGAAAATATGCTAAAACGTTAAAATCGTGCACCTACACACAGCGTGCGTTTTATTTTTATTAGAAAAAATAGGTAAAATAGATTATCTTCGAAAGTATCTATAATGAATTATAATCAGATTGAGTCCGTTCACGCTTTTCATTGTTTATGCCAATTAATAGATTTTACAACCAACGTAAGAACACACGTTAATGTGTTAAGAAAAATTCTATCTTTGTAAATCCACTACAAAACAATAGCGATAAATTCCATTTCCATGAGTTTGATTGAGCTAACTATAATTTGAGACCGTCTGTAACAGACTATCACAATCTTTTTATCACAAATAACTCTCTGAAATATTAAAATTGGAATTTCCTAATAAACATAAACAAGTATTTTCTTTTGAATATTTCTCTTGGTGTCTGCTTCTTTAAAAGTCATAACGGCACATTAATGAATATTAATGGGTAAACAAAACTCACAAATACTTTTATAGCCCTAGATAACACCAGCGGTATGAAAAGAACCCAAAATATCAAAGCCGCCGCGACGTTTGTTACGTACCTGGAATTACTTTAATATTTTCCGAACCTCTTTTACTGAGCCTACGAACCGTTCATCCTATTATTTGCCGGTTAAAACAAAATAGTAAATGGTTATTTAATACTTAGTATAGCAATACTTTTGCAGAATGGACAAGGAAGCAAGTCCTTGTATGTCTACGGGTGATATTTAGGTTAATGTATTTATTTATTATGGATTCATTTATTATAAAAATCCTACAAACATTTGAAAAATCCACGTTACAATCTGTGATAATTTCACTTCATTTTTGAAAGGTTATAAGAGGGCGCGGCATTTTTTTATATTAAATAACTTTAAAAATGTAAACTATCAAGTAAAAAGATATAAAACGAATAGACACCATTTTATAAATAAACATTTTATCAGATGAAAGCTGACATTTAAGTAATAAAACTTGTGAAATAAATTTGCATAAAATGCTTTTATTTCACATTTTCACATTTTATGTAAAGCACACATTTTTAAATTTTCTACTAAGTATCTATTAAAGTTTTACCTAACTTATGTGGTAACTTATGAGGCTAGTTCGTCGAGGTACCTAGGTACTGAGCAACGAATTAACACAAGAAAAAAGAGAAGTAAACAAAGATTGCACTATGGGTACATGGTAATTGATGAACATACTATTCATTTTTGTAAATAAATAAATATTGTGCTAGATATATAAAATGCTAAGGAACTATGAAAAATTACATTCATCACTCAATATTCTTCCAGTATTGTGATCAAGACCAAGAGAACGGTTCACGTTAATCATCATTATATAAAAAAGTCATCAGACAGAAAAACCTCTAAATAAAAATATTATATCACCGTAAGGAAAAGTCTGTGTCTACCAATGATATGATATACAAATAAGAGGTAGATATGACACTAGCGCGCCAAACTGAGACATTAAAATTACGGCAATTGGTGTAAATTCCTCTTGTGTTCGGTCCGATTCTATATTATGTTTTTGTCTATTTCCGAATCATACGTTCTATATCGTTCTACATTCCCATAAAATGTCACATAAAAATGTAATGCGTAATAATTTTTAAACGCCGCGCAGTATGGATATGCGTCTTGTTTATTAAATTAAGACATCACTGGTGTCTACGCGTAAAAAGCGGCAGTATTTACTAAAGTTTGGTATGCAGCGACACGCCTAGGCGAACGGCGCCCGCACTAGGCATTTGCCTATGTCCAGCTATAGGATATAAATATATGTACATTAACGTAATGGGCGGTTCTGTTACTCCGAGAATCTAAATAATTCACACATCCAACATACATAAATTATTCCAATTTAATTTATATATTTTATTATTTGTGATCTCCATTATTTCACTACCCTCCAACCCCTAAAACTACGTCGCCTTCCCCCATGATTTCGGTTGTTTTGTGTTTCATATAAATCTTCCGATATTAGTTATAAAGTAACCGCATATTATAATAAAATAGCTAACTAAATAATTGTAACTATGAATATAGACTTTGGTAATCTAGTACATACGTATATCTTCATTGAAAATTAAATGGTAGTAAGTGTGAATTTTCGTACATTACTTTCAGTAATAGTCAAAGACTAGCCAGATCGGGTCAAAGATATTTAATTTTCAATTCATAAATATAATAACATTCATTTATTTCATGAAATATAATTAAAAAAATATAGTTTGTACATAGTATTTATTAGATTTAACACAATATTTCTCCATTTAACCACTTTGGTATAAGCAATAAATTTTCTCAAACACCGTACAAGAATTTATATTTCGTATATTTATTTCAAATAAAAAGAAATAAATAAAATAAATGATTAGCGTCAAGTACCTACGGTAGTTCAACTTAAGTCATCCTATTATCTCTGTCAAAGATTTTAACGACGTTACATAATACTTGTACGGCCTCGCACTGGTAGATAATTGTAAGTACTTTAAATTAGATTTGCCGTGTCACCGTTTGGATACCTACTGTAGATTTAATAAACCACACTGAATAATTTTGTAGAACATTACCGTATTTTAACCAATCAATTGTCAATCTATTTTCGACAAAGACGGTATACTGATTTTGAGATTTCAAACTAATAAAAGTAAAGTAACAGCCTATACATGTCCCACTTCTGGGCAAAAGCCTTCTCTGTACAGAGAGTATCATGCAGTCCACCACGCGGTCCCACTGCGGATTGCCGGACTTCACATATCTTTCACCACTTTTTTAGGCAGAGTTTAGAATTATTATGAGACAACACAGGCTCTCTCCTCAAAATGTTGTACTATTTAATGCAAGGGGTTTAAGTTTGAATTCTTTTTTACGCAAAAGGACGGCAAGCCAGCTGGCGGTTCACCTGATGTTAAGTGATAACCACCGCCCCTGGACATTTGCAACAGCCAATGTAGGGTTACAAATGCGTCGCCACCTTCCAGTAAAGTTAATACCACCTGTCTTCTCCGATCACGATGAATTTTTTGGAGTGTTTTTGAGCATTGTTTGAGAAATAGCCTGCGCAATGTAAGAACGTTATGTTGAGATAACAGCGCTAGATTTCACGTTTTCACAAAAAAAAACCTCAGTTAAGTCTGAATATAGACTTAAACTATAACTAAAATAGCTAACTAAATAGTTGTAACTATGAATATAGACTTTGGTAATAATGTATATCTTCATTGAAAATTAAATGGTAGTAAGTGTGTATTTTATGTACATTAAAAAATATAGTCCCAGACTGGATTCTCCAGATACCCCTTCGCTTCCTGCTCGCTTCTTTACTAGTGTGATTTATATCGTTTTGCTTCTTGTAATTTTCTTCGGCTATTTTTGATACTTTTTCTCGGGTACCGCACTAACGGTCGGGATCTGTCGAGCTTCAATACTTTTAGACGCTCATTAAGATAAAGCCTTATATTTTGTCGATAAGCTCGAAGTCTCAGGTCCTGGATTAAGCACTACTTTAACAGTCGTCTGCTTAACTCCAATTGAAGGGCTAACATTTTTTGCCTCAAACCACGGCTGGAATTCTGCAGTCCCAAAATTGTCTGTGACCGCTTATAGTCATTGATATAATTTTGTAAAGTACTTGTAAAAGTATTTTTGTTTTATGTAATGAAGTGGCAAATGAGCTGGCGGTTCACTCGATGTTAAATGATAACCGCCGCCCATGGATATTTGCAACACCCGTAGGATCGCAGATGCGTTGTCACCTTTTAATAAATTGGGCCGGCTACCTCACTCACCACACGAAACGCAGAAATTGTTACACTTCTACTTTACGCCGGTCTTCTGTGAGGTCGTGGTACTAACCCGGACGGACCTGCCCATTCGTGCAACAGCAAACGATGTTGCGTGGTCCTACCACAGTTCGAGTTCTGACGACGAAAGATATAAATTATGGCACGTGGCAAGTATAATTACGTCGATTTGCACTGCAAGGCATAATTTTCTTGTCGTGAAAGTTGTTTAAAAATATATGAACATAATCGTCTGCGAAATGTTGTGCCCAACGTCATTTAATGTTGAGTAAGCAAGTAATACAGACATAATCGGTGGTAGGGTCATTAACGGTGGTAGGGTCACGCAGGAGCCTCGGCTGTTGCACGAACGGGCAGGCCCGTCCGGGTTAGTACCACGATCTCACAGAAGACCAGCGTAAAGTTGAAGTATGACAAATACTTTCGCGTTTCGTCTGGTGAGTGAGGTAGCCGGAGCCCAATTTTCAAAAGGTTGTCAACGCATCTGTAACCCTCGGGTGTAGCAGATGTCCATGGGCGGCGGTATTCACTTAACATCAGGTGACCCGTCTGCTCGTTTGGCAACATTTGTCATAAAAAAAAAATCCTATTCGCGTGGAAACTTATTGCTTAAAACCAATGATTACTTTTCCAACTAATGATTATAATATAAAATATCATCACTGTAACAGATTGGCAAAGATGTAAATTGTACTTAATAACATTGTTATTGATAACCATAGTAAAGAAACAGCCTATGTACTTTAAGTTAAGTCACATAGCTTGGCGAAGGCTTCCTGTGGGCAGAAGGTAAGATCTTACGAGCATTATGTATAGTCGCAATATTTACTTTCGCCATAGAGCACGTAATTAAACAACTCTTTTCTCTAAAGGCCCATTTACACGATGCCATTTTCTTGTACATACAAGAGCAATAATTGAATGCAATAAATTGCGCGCAATAATTGTTTAGACCATTTGTTGTTTAGACTATGCAACTCATTTATTGCTTCAATTTAATTGTATACAACAGGCAAGAAACTGGCACCATGTAAATGGGCCTTTAATTAATAATTGCATTGGTGCCGTAAATGGGATTGTGATGAAGTCTGATTGAATTATCGTTGATATTTAGTGTTGTTAAGCTAACGATATCAACTCGGTTTCAAATCGGATGAAATTCCACGTCCATCGGATAACAAACAGGAAGAGATTTCTTTAAGCCTACTTGATCATATTATTGCTTTGTCTTGCCAAAATTCGATTTAGAATCGAATTATCCCTTTTGATGAAATATGGCCCAAATATTTCAAATTTAATTCAATAAATACTATATGATATGCCTACTCTATAACAACTCTTTAAAACATGACGATGGAGAGTGTGAATCTTGCGCAGTTACGATCCATAACTGTCATAGAGCCGTGCATGTATTGTCTTCTGATTCCTTTGGGGAAGCACCTTAGCCTCGTAGTAAACGTACGTGATCTTAAAACATGTAGAAAAAGTACGAAAAGATTGTTGCCGCTGTGGGAATCGAACCCACGTCTTCGGCATTCGCGGCCTGACGCTCTAGGCACTGAGCTAAACGGCTGATAGCCACAGCGACGAAAATCTTAACGCAACGCAACGCACATACGTGATCTTGGTAAACATTTTTTAAAAATTTCACGACCCATTAGACACCCATAGCCACATACAGCCCATAGTCTTTCTTTCTTTTTTTGGTATCGAACCAGTGAAATTGTCGATGTGATTCTATGCAGTGCCGGATTAACCACGTGGCAAGAGTAGTAATTGCTTCGGGCCCTGAGCGTAAGGGGCCTCGGCACCGCATATTTAACATCACTCATCTCTGCTTGAGCCTTAATTATTTTTCACCACTTCTTACTTAAGAACCCACAGCGGATCAAGGACTGTTTGAAAGAATTCGTTACCGGCGCAGAAGTGGAAGTGTTATACGTCTAAGTTTCGTCTGGTGCGTGAAATAGCTGGGTCCTTTTAGCATCTTTAGCGGTCTTTAGCGGTCATTTTACTGAAATTATATTCCAGAGGTAATCTAATCGAATGTTCGTTGAAATCCAAAATAAAAAAATAGCAATATCTCTTCATATCATTTCGATCTTCGAGATCTTAAGGAGTAACTCTGTTGCCTGTATGGACCCAAGCAAAAAATTAGCCTCAATTCAAATGTAGAAGATCACAACGCTGGTGTCTTTGTTCGTGATGTTTCCATTACCGCGGGCCGTCTGTTCCACAGAAATCTGCCTCAATCTTGAATCATAGAAACAAACTACTTGTCTACTCTGGTTGTTCGACTTCCTTATTCCTAATAATCTGCAGTCCTTCTCCTGCAGCCAGCGAGTTTTTATATAACAATAAATAAAAATCTCCCCCCATCTTTTGTATCCCGATGGCGTAGAAAAGGATAGCTAAATATCATTATAGTCTAAAGTTTACAGCTTTTCAAACAGCAGCAATTTTCGAGCCTGCTTTGGCTTTACCAACTAATTTTTGCAAGCTGAGTATGCGGGTAACAATATAAAAATAAATTAGTTTTCTTTATTTTTACTGAAACATATAAATTCCCATAGAGGTCTGACGGTCTAACGTAAGTTGTATAACAACCTAAGTACACAGAATAATATTTTATATCATGAAATATAATATTTTTCAGCGCGTTATTTAAAATTTACCCTCTGGCTATACAGTGGCGCCACCGTTATTTAACACGTTTTATTACTTACCTATACAATCTCCATACTCCATAGAGTAGAGAGCGTAGTACGAAGTTTTTTGGGAGGTAAATTCATAACCAAAACTTTAAAAATGTTTCTCATTTAGAAAGTTTTGGTCACAATTTAGTGAATTTTAGTGGGATTTGAATTGTTTTTGAAATATTTTTAAAATGTCGGTAACACTGTTGTAAACCATAGACTAGATTAGACTTACAAGCCGCATTGCCATTAATACGGCAATTGCCGTAATATACGGTAATTTATTAACATTAATTCAGATAACACGGCCTAAGGCAAGTTTTGCATTACCGTATACGACAGAACCGTAATAGCTCAGTGTCCGGGCGCTCGTATTTTAAATTTACTCGAGCAACATGAGTTCGATCCCCGGTACCAGCACCAATTAAATAGTTAATTTAAAGCTGAATTAACACGTGCTCAGCGGTGAAGGAAAACATCGTGAGGAAACTTGCATATTTTCGAAATAAGAACAAAAAAAATGTTTTAAAGACATGTGAAGTCCGCCAATTCACAGTGGGGCCGCGAGGTGGACTATGCCCTGATACTCTCTGTACAAAGGAGGGATATGTATAGGCTCATACTTTAATATACGGCAATCCAACGTTGATTAATGAGGCACCTGTTATAAGTTACTCACTATTTAACCAAACATCGAATAAAATTGCGCTAAGAGACTCATCCCTAATTACGCCGTAACTTGGAATCCCTGGAAATCGCTGGCAGTGAATCGTAACTACCTGACATCTAAATGTCATCACTTTTACAAGCAAAAATCTGCAAATAAATAAAGAAACGGTATCATTTTTCGAACAAAGTTCTTCCGATGTTGAACAATTTCTTACCATATAAAGTGCATTTTAAAATTAGTACATACTATTTAAGTAAACATGGCAGCGACGTATTTTGAAATCTATATGGTGATGGTATTAATGAGTACTTTATTTTTTTTGTCCTCTTGTTGCTACCTGTAATTTTAATTAATCAAACTAATCAATACGGCAATTTCATGATTTTTTCTTAAAATTACGGCAATCTGGAATATCGACGACGACAACTATGTAAAACTTGATGGCAGCACTTGGCAGCTCTCACAGAGTATGAGAGTACTTACTTTTAAATACCGGAAACCTGGCAGCACTGCTTACAAGCTAGGATGCCAACTTAGGAGTTTTCTTCCTAAATTTAGGAAGAAAAATTTACAATAGAAATTTTTTAGGAGGAGAAATTTTTTGGGAATCTTTTTAGGAATAAAATTTTATTTACATTTTTTTTAAATCACAGAATTTTAAACACAAAATATAATGTAATAGTATTGGCAGTATTGGCCTATGTAGTATTTTAAATTGTTCCGCCATAAACTCTTATTGTGAATATACGGCTATTCATAATGTATTAAATTCATTTAATAAGTAATATAAAATGCTAAATGGTGCGAAAATTGCCATTGGATATGTTCAAAAATATGCAGCTAAGTGGGAAAAAGACAATGAATTTAAAGGTATGTATGTTTCATTCAGATCTTTTATAATTGAATGATACTTATTCCCATTATTTAGTGTCTGATTCTTAAAAATAATGAAAATAATTATAACGTCACATTAAAATGAATTTAATTCGTATAAATATTTCAAGTCAATGAACAATGTTCAAGGTCAAGTATGTTAATTGAGTTAATTTTTAAATAAAAGAGCTTTGATTACCCAGATAATTAAATTTTCCGATAATTATTCTAGCTTGTTAGATAATTTAAAAAAGGAGACTTTTTCATTTAGGAAGTTTTTTTTTTAAACAGTGGATTTTAGGAGGTTTTTGAATTTCTGTAGGAGTTTTTTTTCAACAGCTGGTAACACTGCTTACAAGTAATTGAGATTTGAGTTTGAGTCATTGACACATTCTTGAAAAAAAAGCATTTGTTGCGACTTGCGTCTTCTCTGTTTATATTTATTAATTGCTGCAGCCGTGTGGTATTTAAAGTGTTGTGAGCATTCATACACAGGTTGTTATCATTATCATTGCAATTAACCGGCATAAACATGTCGTCTGATAATATTGAAAAATTATACCAGAACTATGGAATTTTAGCCGATGCCAAAGATGAGATATCAAAGGTAACCTGAAATAATTTAGATTTGAAGTAAATAGAAATGTATTGGATAAATATTAATTAATTTATTTATTTACAGCACGAAAAAGAATATTTGGAGATATTGGCCGCGGTTAAAGGGTCTGATAAAGAAAAACGTTTGGCGTCTCAGTTCATTGCAAAGTTTTTCAATAGCTTTCCGAATCTAGCTGAACAGGCTATTGAAGCTCAATTTGATCTTTGCGAAGATGATGACGTTGCTGTAAGTATTGCTTATGTTTTTTGGAATTATTAAGATTGTAACTTTTTTGTGATTTGTAGGTTATAATATTTGTAACAGCATTATTTAGCATGTTTAATTTTTATACTTAATTAAATATTCTGGCACGGTTTTAAATTCTAGGGACAGAATTGTATTCATTGGTTTTTATCTACACTAGCTATTGGTTAAATTTAATTCATAAATTATATTGAAACCCATAATTTTACCTTATTCATAGGTAAAATTATGGGCTTAACATAAATTATTTGTGTTTACATGGTGATATAAGATAAATGAATCATATTATGCTGGAATAAATACTCTTCACACTTAAGTTTACACTTCTACACTTATTTTTTCCATTAGTGTTTGGGTATTTTTCAACCAAAAAAATTTTATTCGGTAAAGAAAAATTATTAATGAAATAATCAACAAGCAAAATTCATGGGTCGCTTATAATTTTACCCTTAAAATTATGCTATAAAGTTTAATATGAGTTGTTTAAACATTAGTTCATCTGATTTAATTACATGAAATTCCAAACAATATTATTTTCTCGTATATTAATATTCTGACTAAAATGTTGTCACATTAAATCATTAATGCACAGTGATTACCTCTGTACTGTTTATTTCAATTAAGTCATCTAATTAGTGAGTGGCACTATTGTAAACAATTACCTTAAAATTTTATTATGTATTTAAAATATCATTAACAATGCATGAAAAACTTCTTTCTGATTATTAGGATATATTATGTATATTAATATTTAATTTACAGATCCGCAAACAAGCAATAAAAGATTTGCCTACTATGTGCAAAACCAATAAAGAGCACACCCAACGGATTGCTGATATTTTAGCACAGCTTCTACAATCTGAGGATGCTACGGAAATAAGTGTTGTCACCAATTCGTTAGTGACAATTCTGAAGAGTGATCCAAAAGGGGCATTAACTGGGTTATTCTCGCAAATACATCAAAGTACAGACTCTGAGGTTACCAATGAAATAGTGCGAGAGAGATGCATCAAATTTTTGGCTACAAAAGTAAAACAACTTGGAAGAGAGGTGATCAACAAGGAAGCAGAGGAGCTCATCATAGTTGAATGCAAGAAAATTCTAGAGGTTGTTTTTTTTTTTAAATTTTATTATAAATGCATCTTCAAGAAGCTAACCTTTGTTAAATTCAGATGTCATAATAAGTGCAGTACTAAACACAGTATTTTCATCTTTTTGAGAGAAAACATTTTTATTATTAAATATTGCCAAATCTTGTATTTACAGCATACATATTTAATATTGTCAACTGAAACAATTTTTTTTGTAATGTCTATTTTATATCATCATCATCATATCATCTTGGGTAAATAAACTAAACTCTAATACACTTTCAGGATGTAGTTGCTGAGGAATTTGAACATATTATGGACTTATTGACTTGGTCTAGACTTGGCAAAACCCCAGCTGGTAAAAAAGAATTGGTTCAACTAGTTGCAGCTCTTGCTTTTTCACCAGACGACTGGCATCCTGAGGATCCAGAATATGTAGACAGAATTATACAATGCACACAACATGCTTTACCCTTATTTTCTGTAAGTTTCAATTTTTTTATGTAATTCACTACATTTGCATGTGTGGAATAATTATTCAATCTTTGGCATCTTCATTATAATTTATCTTCCCTAGATTTTTTGTTAATTTGAATAACATAGTTATATTTTTAAAAATGATACTAATTATCATTTTGTGATCAATATTTGTTTTATTTATAATATACGTCTTTATTTATTCTAATTTGTTGTTTGTTTGGTATTACTAGGTTCAGGTGGACTCAACTCAATTTATTAATTTCTTTTGTGATCATGTTTTGAAGAGGTGGAATGATATTGTTGTCTCCGAAGGCAATGATTCAAAACTGGAATTGTTAAAAATATTTGCTGAGATCACTGAATTCTGTGGAGATTTGGAGAATTTGCAAACAAAAGTGGACACTGTGTATGATGTGTTACTGGTAAATGTTATTTAATTTTGATTATTATATACTGCCTGTAGGGTAGAGGTACCTCTGTAGACGCATTTGCTCAACAGTGGAACATATATAGGCTGTTACTTTACTTCACTTACATATGATTACCCTAATTTTGTATTTCCATTTTAAGTTTATATATTAGTACCTACTCTTCATTTAACCTTACTACTAATATTTTATCTGTTTTAAGTTACATGATAGGGTTAGTATAATATAATAATTTAATATTTTTTCAACAGAACTACTTACCAGAAGCACCAATTGAGGGTGAAAATACTAATGAAAAATCTGAGAGTACAGAGGGTAAAACTGAAGATCCTAAAACTAATTCAGCACCATCATTACAATTTTCACATGTGGAATGCGCTTTATTTGCTTTGCACTCCTTATGCCGCAAGTCACCTGAAGCAATCAGTGCTGACACAGCCCGCCTAAAGGCTCTTCGATTACGATTGCAATACACAGCAAGATTAACTCAAGGATATATTAAAAAGTTGAAAGAAGTGACTGACGTAAGTTGTCAAAAGTTATAAAATTTATCAATAGAAGCTGGAGCACTGCAATTTATATAAAATAGTTCTTTATCATTAACAATTATGAGCTGTAGCTGTGTAGTATATAAAAAGCTACCGTGGATTTATGTGCCAAATTGTTTTGAGGCTAATAGTAATAAATAAATAAACTACACAACTTTAAATATAATTTTCTGTGCCCATAATGAACATCTTGAATAATATTTGTAATTTGAGAAACAATGTTAACATATATTTCTTCATTCCTTATTTACAGAGTAGGAAAGCTGCTGATGATAACTCTGAAGAAAATAAATTAAAAATTGTTGCGTTAAACACCACTTCCAACATAAACACGCTTATACGCGACATATTCCGCACGCCACCGAGCTTCAAAAGCAAAGTTCAGCTATCATTCCTTTCTAGAAAGACAGAAAAAGAGGTATGCATACTAATAAGACAGATTGTAAAATTATAGCTCATATTAAATTCTATTCTTCAAATTATTATGTATATATTATTATGTATATAATAATTATTATGTATTATATTACTTTTCTAGAATAAGCTGTCTGTTGTGACGAGTGATGGGGAGAAAGAGTCTACTGGCCAGAAACGCCATCTACCTATAACATTTGACAATGGAGAAAAGAAAGAATCCCCAGAGAAGAGGTCTCGGAGTGGTGACAGAAATCTTAAAATGTATACACCACCCTCAGGAAAATATAGCTCCAGATTGAATAACAGTGGACGATTCAGTGGGAACTATTCAGGGAGAGGTAGAGGGTCGTATGGTAGAAGGGACTTCCATAATAATGGTGCTCCATTTAGAAGACGCAGCAACTTTTAATAACAGTACATACTGTATTATACAATAAAACTAAACATGACGAAATATTCAGAATAATGAAGGCTGTCATGGAATATTTGGCACCATAAAAAAAAAGAAATTTTTTATAATAATGAAAATGATTGATTTAATTATTTATCTAATATAAACACATGAAGTTACTCGAGCAGGAAATATTCTTTGCAAAATAATGAAAACATCATTTCAATAACAGGAAAGAAGAATATCTGTCGTTATTTTCGGTCTTTTTTTTGTTTGGTCGGGGGCTTACTTGCAGGTTCCGGAAAAGCAGAGTATGAACATTAATATTGACTGCTGCAGAAATAGTTTTTGTCTGATCAACACTTTTCAGGGCAATAAACAGGAGCACAGAGCACAGACATGAGCCATTTTTCTTTCAGTTTTCTGCAGCTTTTGTTGATTAAGAAACAGTTTTATAACTATAAATAGTAGTTCCAGTCAGGTGGTTGCCGTAACATTTTTCATAATGTAAGTATATATTATTAAGTCTTTTTAGAATAGAATAGATTTAGGAGACTGCGAGTAAATGGAGCACAAAGAGATTTCATCTTTTTGTAAGTATTTAACATAGGTTTTATGATTTTTATAATGAATTTGTCATCATTAGCTGACTGTCCTGATGTTTCATGGATGCAAGCAGTTTCTGCAGTTGTAAGGTATGTCTGTGGCCTTTCTTTTCCTTTTAATAGAATTTGTTTTTAGTTAAAGCTTAAGTATTCTACCATTGGAGTATGTATGTGATGCAGAACTGCACTCATTTTTTTTTTTGCGAATGGTTCCATTTCAGATTATCTTTTGTACTTCTTTGTCATCACAAAGAAGCCCCACATCAGGATTATATTTTTCATCGTAAATGGATGATTTTAATAATAAAATGATACTCAGAATGTGTTTTGGTTTTATTCAATTTTCCTTATCTCGTCAATTTTACAACCGACTAAAAGAAAAGGGGATTTATGGGGCATGTCCATAAAATTAATGACCACAATAACACCATATATTGCACCACATCTGGCTTACATTTTTAACAAATGTGTAGATTCTGGAATATTTCCAGATCTTATGAAATTTAGTAAGACAATCCCAGTCTTCAAAAGTGGGGATAAAAATGACCCAGGCGACTATAAACCTATTTCCATATTGCCATCTCTAAGTAATATATATGAAAAAAAAAACTTAATCAACTATTAGTACATTTTAATATGAACAAAATTTTTCACGATGAGAAATATGGATTCACTAAAGGCAGATCGACAACAGATGCGGGCGTCGCACTTGTCAAGCATATTTATAACGCCTGGGAAAGGTCACAAGATTCATTAGGTGTCTTTTGCGACCTTTCAAAAGCCTTCGACTGCATAGATCACAAAACCCTTCTTTGCAAGCTAGATTATTATGGCATTCGTGACAGCGCCCTCACTTAATCTCATTACCTCTTACCTTAGTAATAGAATTCAAAAAGTGAACCATGAAAATGGGTATCCCACACGGATCAATCTTGGCCTATTATTATTTCTAGTACCTATACAGCGTGTCGTTACCATGGCGACAATAAATGAACACACATATAGAGGATAACTTTTTAAAATTATATTAAACATTTGCATTCTTTAAACATAAATATTTACAGAGTTATTAAATATTTTGTGATGTTGTACTGTTTGCTGACGATACATCGCTCATCGTTAAGGTTGACCGAAATTTATCAAATTTTGATGACGTATATGGTGCATTTTCGCATATCCTCCACTGGTTCACCATGAATAATATGGTACTAAATGCCAAAAAAAAATGTATTCTTTTTACTCTTCCTAGTGTAAGAAGGCAAAGTTTTAGTTTATTATTAAATAATGTATCCCTCAATCCTGTTGAGTCCGCTGTTTTCTTAGGGATTAAAGTAGATTCAAAGCTCCAGTGGAGTCCCCATCTATCATCTCTTACGAGTAGGCTAAGCTCCGCTGTTTTTGCGATTAGGAAGGTTAGGCAGCTAACAGACATCGACACTGCCAGACTTGTTTAGTTATTTTCACAGCATCTTATCGTACGGCATTTTGTTGTAGGGTTGTACATCTGACATAAATTCTATATTTATTCTTTAAAAAACAGCTGTCTGAGCAATATATAACATCGGAGCCCGGAATACACTCGGAGATCTTATTAAAGAGATTAATATACTCACTGTTGCGTCCCAATATATTTATTGTAATATTTTGTATCTTAGAAATAATCTTAATTGTTACCTAAAGAATAGTGATAGACATAAATTAAATAAGTACTAGAAATAAGGACAAATTAATTACGCCATTGTTTCTTCTACAAAAAGTAAATAGATCGTTCATGGGGCAAAGTGTGCGCATGTATTTATAAAAATCCCACAGTCTAATGGTAATATGTCTGCCACTAGATCAATTTAAACGCAAAATTAAAAGTCAAGTTATGGCTAAGGCGTATTATGCCATTGCGGAATATCTTGACGCCAATGTGTGGGGTTAATAGTTGTTGATACTCACGTAGGCTAAAATGACATACTTGTTCTATTATATTGTTAACTAATCGTTGTAAAAAAGAGCAACTGTTGAGTTTCTTGCCGGTTTCTTCTCAACAAAAACTGCTTTCCGAATCGGTGGTACCTTACTTACGTATTAATTTTTATGTAAAATGTTGACGTTTCATAAGAACGCGCAAGCGTCTATGTGAATAAATATATTTTTGATTTTTTGGAGAATGATTTTCAATAGATTGCATAACAAACTGGCAAGTGGGTGACTAGCACTGCACCTATTGTTACCTATGTAAATATTTTTAAATTAACAAAAAATCGCCGCTTCGGGAATGGAACCTGCAACTTATAGATTCGCGCTCTGAAGTTGAAGGTTCGATTCTCGTAGTTGCAAAAGTGTTTGTTCATTTATGTACAGTGTTAATCTTGAGTGCAGAGCAGCACTACAGATAGAAAATAATCCTTTTATTAAAAAAAATATTTCCTTACTATACTACCTTAATAGCAAACTTGCTGAGGATGTTACATTTGTATGTTCCATGCCAGGATGAAAAGAATATTTTTATAGCCCCTTATACTAAATTATAAAAACAGTACAGAATATTAACAATAACTTTTTATTGTGATATTATAAAAATAATTACTTAAACATATAAATGGGAACCAGATATGAATAATGAGTCAGGAAATGTAGATATTTTTGACAAGGTCTAAATTTCTGATAATTAGAAATTTTTACATTCTTATAATGAATACATTCAGTATCATGATGCTAGCAGGGTAATGAAGTAATTTTCAATGACACTGCATTAAAACAAAACTGCTATATTTATTTTACAAACATAACTTATTTTATACTTACCTCATATTATCAATAACATTACACATAATACGGTCAAGTTCGTAACAAGAATCTGAATTAGTACTGTCCATGGGATTGCATTCCATTTGATCTAGTATATCTGTTGGCACCTTGAAGTTAGATTCAATTTCATTCTGGTCAGGTAAACTTTGGAGTGCATTTTGTAAAATGTCTTGTACTTTGTCTAAGTGTTTCTGGAAGCTGAAGAAAAAAACTTAATATAGTAATAATAAGGATTTTTGTTTCATATATGTTTAAATAATTTTACAATAATTTCTTTGATTATTTTCTTATAAACATCTAAATATAAAGAAAGACAAGTGCTTGATCACTGTACAGATTTTCAGCTGCACTCAGATTCACAATCACTAATATTTGCATTAGCGTTAACTTGTGTAAGTTATTCAAGTTTTGTAATAAAATTTTATTGGCAAAATTTGATAACATGTGTCCTTTACTTATATTGTATTGAGAAGCTTAATAAATGACAATTACCGCATAGCAGTTTCTACACGCTGCCTTTTTTGAAGCTCCATCATGACTCTTAATGTCTCTCTAGCTTGATGTGGTCTAAATTCATTTAGTAAATGATGAATATGAATAAACAATAAACTCAGATCTTCTACTTTTTCGGCTCTTTTCGGCGAATCAGGACAATGAACTAGTAAATCTAAAAGATCTAAAAAGTTAACTAATAACGAGTGATTTAATTTCTTTAGTTCTCGACGTCTTTCAAAATGCATTGGGTATAGTCGACGAAAACCCTGAAAAAAAGTTTATCGGGTTACTATACAATCAATACATCCTAAAATATTATATGGATCATTCATATATTTTGTTAGGCACTTACTTGACTTTCTAAAGATCTGATTATCGTATCATCCGCATTAAATGCATGCCCGAACATTGAGTAAGAGTCGTGTATCGGACGAGGTGGCAAGGGAGCTCTATTTCTTCTTACATTTTCGTCAGTATAAAAGTTTATGTACTGCATTGGTGGTAATGGCAAAGAACTGACTTGAGCGGTGTCTGAAGACATTTTGTAAACATATACTGCAAGCAGGTATCAATATTCCTCAAAAATACACAAATCTTCAGGTAAACTATTTTACTTATACCTACAATAACACTATATGACAACACAACAACCATGACATGAAGTCATGAAGTCATTCATGACATGAACCAACCATCAATCAAATTAGGGAACTCGAAAAAATATCGATATTTTTAACCGATATATTTGAATCCGATAAATAGATACAAAATATTCTATATCGAAATCTTTTTTTCTTGAAAAACGGCCTAAACAGAAAATATCCCTATATCGATATATCGAGGCCGATATTGACATTTTTATAAATATGAATATATCGAAATATTTATTCACTTTCCAAAATCCTACATCAAATAAAACAAAATATCAAGATCAAGTATTACGTAGTGGCTTTCCTTTTATATTCCAAGTTGCCGTATTTCTAATAAAAAAAATCAAGAAATTGCCGTATTGCTTAGTTTGACAAGAGGACAAAACAATAACTTAACCAACAATGCATTTCTTTTGGTGACATGTTTTTCAACATTAGAAGACCTTTTTTGGACATATTGGTGGTAACGGTGGTAGAGCCACGCAGCAGCCTCGGCTGTTGCACGAATGGGTAGGCCCGTCCGGGTGGGTACCACGACCTCACAGAAGGCCAGCGTAAAGTGGAAGTATGACAAATACTTTCGCGTTTCTTCTGGTGAGTTAGGTGGCCGGAGCCCAATTTTCAAAAGGTTGTCAACGCATCTGTAACCCTCGGGTGTAGCAGATGTCCATGGGCGGCGGTATTCACTTACCATCAGGTAAACCGTCTGCTTGTTTGGAATCTTTTCACATAAAAAAAAAAAAACGCTGGTTAGTGACACTTTCGCCACATGGCACTTCCAATTATTTTCTCTATTCCGTGGTGAGAACCACTTCCACTGTTTTCTTTATTCCGTGATTATATTTAGTTTCCCTAAATTATTATAATACGCTAAAATGGCGTAACTGTAGCATACATTCAACATTTCAAAGTAAACGTAAAAAAATTAAAAAATAGACGCAGATGGATATCCGCTTTGTAAAAGCTTACAAACGAATGATGAAGATGAAAAATTGAACTACAATTAACATTAAAACATGTAGAAAAAGTACGAAAAGATTGTCACCACTGTGGGAATCGAACCCACTCCTTCGGCATTCGCGGCCAGACGCTCTAGCCACTGAGTTAAACGGCTGATAGCCACAGCGACGAAAATCTTAACGCCTTTTTTCTACATTGTTATTTAGCATTTGAAGCAATGCTTGACGCATCTATTGTTATATCCTTTCCAGCATACAAACACCATTCCCACAGCGGCGACAACGATACGATTTTACGATATTAAACTTGACATAGGCAATTAGCCAGTGCACTTATCAAGATAATACACATTTGATTTATATAGTTTCGCTTAACCATCACTCAACACAGTATTATATTATAGGTTTCATATTTATTTCATTAAACGTATTGCCTTAAGTATTGGCGTAGTGGTGATAAACCTTTGTCCTAAAACTTATAAATTTGACGTGGACTAGCGATATTGCCAGAAAGACTTCAAAAAATTATCGATATAGCGATGTGTCAATATTTATAAAAATATCAAAATTGACATCGATAAGTTTAGGATAATATATCGATACATCTGTCAAAATTTTTAGTGATTTTCAGCATTTAAATAGTAATGTATTTAGTTCAGTCTGACTGGTCAAAAACTAAAAAGCCTAATATTTTTAAAACCAATTTATTATTTAAGGCAAGGTAGCCTTTGTCCGGTAGGAAGTCTGGGATGGCTTCATTTTCAGCCTGCTTTTATTATGAGGAATCGGTAGATTTACAGCAGAAGCTACTCTCTTTGAAGGCACAGAGACACCCACGGCTTAGATATCAAAAATATGCCAATGAGCATGTAAAAGTGTGTATTTTTGGCAGATTTTTTTTGCCAGATTCTGCTAAAAATATCGATTGATATATCGAATCAATAATATCGATATTTTTTCAATAAGCCTACCGTACATACCTAAATGTAGATGGAATTATATACCTATTACCTTGCAAGACAAGAGTAGAGAACCTATTTCTTTCCTAATCTTTATGTTATTGGTTCTGTGTTTGTTGTGTTGTGATTTTGGGTGACTAATTCTCAGAGCCTTTAGATAAAACGTTTAAAGTCGAGTTAAAGTCGAATAATGAAATGCTCAGCTGTTAATAAATAAAGGTACATATTGATTTTGTTTATATTTTTTACTGCTGTTTTGAGAGCCGGTTTCTTCAGCCGGTAATCGGTATATTCATGTTCTTTCATGATTCAATGTACTGTCAATTGTATGAAATATTTTAATTACGTATGAAACCTTCGTAATTATCAGTTTAAATCTACTTTAGACTGTAGAGACCAGTCAACTACTATGTTCAATTTGTTTTCCTTCTATTCTTCATTCATTTCGATTTAAAATTATATATGAATACCAAATAAACGCTTATCGTTTATTTATTACCTAGAACAATAATAGTTGATTATTTATGAAAAAGCTCTTTTTGAAATATTTACATTGTTTTTAACATACGTTATTGTGTTCGAAAGTGTTGTGAATAATTTAAAGACATGTGTCTTTAAATTATTTAAATTTTTATATTAAATTTAAAGCTTTTTTTATTATATTTGAAAAGTCTAGATGGTTTAAATTTAATAAAAAAAATTCAACAAATGGAAGCTATGAATCCTATTTTATTTAATGTCATGATAAGTATATAATATATATCAATATTAGTATTCTTCATAAGTCATTAAATGAATTGTTTTTAGATTGAAAATGTCTACCAAAGAGGAGGATGAAGTGATATGCCAAACATTCATGGTTAAAAGATCTCAGAACAAGAAGTTGTTCACACCAGTTAATTATAGAAAAAGATTTTTAGTTTTAACAAGAAAAGCCCTCATATATTATGATTCTGATAATCAGGTAAGTTTCACTTGTTTGTTTCTCGTTTTCAATATTTGACATCAATTTATTTTTGAATTAACAGTAAGCTTTGTGTAAAACTTAACAAATAGTTGAACCTGTATTCCACCATCAAGTGTTATTTTCCAACAACTGTTGCTGTTTGATATAATTTCACTTTTATTATTTTTAATATGTATTTTGTTGACTTTTATGTGTTAAAATGTTTACAAAAATGATGAGTTTGTTCATTTTTTCATGCTACCCAGGATTAAATAGCATTGAGGTATGGTTTTTAAAAATAATACAAATTTAAGCAGTTTTCTTCATGGCTCTCGATTTACACTAAAAATTAGAATGAGCAGGCGCGTGAACTCCACACGATTCATACCCTACATCTAAAGCCATGAGTTATAGGTACTAAAGATTGTCATTTACAGGTGTTAATTGTTAACGATAATTTAACTTTAACTCTACTTTCTGAGTTTATTGGGTTCACACGGACACACGCCCAGATGCGAAACAACTATCTGTGGGTCACACAAATAATTGTTGCGTGTGGGAATCGAACCCACAACCCCCGACGCCTAAGCCAATGCCTTGGCCACTGCGCCATGGTGTCATCAATTCATATGTTATGTTGACCTCACCTAGGTCGGATAAGGTTTGAAGGATGATGATGATCACCTTGGTTATAACCAAATAATTAAGCTTACTTTTAGCAAGAACTGCACATCAGATTCCTTGTTTTTTAGATTTATGAACTCAAATTTCCCAAAATATTTTTTATGTTGTATTATTATTCTGTTCTATTTCTATTACTGGTCTATTATTACTCTTGTAAAACTCAGCAGCACTTTATTGTAAACCTTGCTATCATAGTTGTTTTGTTAACATCTCTAAATTAAGTCTATTCACAAATTTAGGACTTCATCTTCATATCCTACCGACACGCAACATTTAATTCACGTTTTTAAAAATGGCTTTTCAAAAATAGAATGAAGTTAAATGTCCTTTTTAGTCAAACTTTCAATACGTATAAAATTTTAGAATTTTTATGAATGGTTATTTACAACTTTAGTTATTATTATACTGTGCTATACAATTTTTTAGGATTGTATATTTAAGCATTTAAACGCTGAAATGAAATAAAGTCGTAAAATTGGTTCATGAGTATGAATTACTGCTTGCCTATGAATTTGTGTCAAATATGTTTCACTTCATATTCAAATAATCTCATTCGATGCATACCAAAACCCTTGTAGTAGCAAGATCTTCATTCATTTTCGATTAGTCATTCACAAAGTGTTGACCGAACTGCTTTGAATTAGTAGGAACCATTAAAGCAATAATTACATGACACTGCCACACATGCACCTATTAGTGTGGAGTCTATTTCTTTATTATGTTTTTTGTGCGATACCGAGTTCCGAGATTCCTTTTGGTAGCCGAAGCTTTATTCGCGTCGACGTGAGTCATCCCGAGGTGGCCCTTAATTACTTACCGGTCAGTTCGGTTCGCTGCTATCCTGAACGGTGCATGCTTCTTCTGACTATCAAAAACAGCCGTTCGAATTTGCCAGAATTGTGGTTTAACGAAACAATCGTTCGCGTATCATTTAGCATCGAAATGGTCACATGATGACTGGCGTGGAGGGAAGATCACAATATTGAAACTACAGCATAATACCCAATATACGGAAGCAAATTATAAGCCTTAGTGTCCCATCGGTAATCAAATTGAGAAAGTTACGAACCAATTTGTTCATTAGTCAAGGACCCCTTGTGGTTTCGATCCAGTTCTATTCATAAGTACAATACTATGCCATAGTAATTGACAAAACAGACGATAACAACGTTTCAGCATGTAAAAGAGAACATTTCAATATTTCCGTGTACCATTTTGTTATCACTATATCACATGTGCTATTATAATAGTGCTGTTTTATATGATAATTTTCAATTTATTTGTATACTTTTAATTTTCTTTGTATGACTTTTTGTATATCGTACTTTATTGAGATATGGTTGTTAGTTCTACTTTCAAAAAAAGAAACATTTCAAATATTTTATTGGATAGACATCTCTGCTTTACCGGATATTCCAATAGGGAAGCCACAAAAATTTCATTCAACATCTTTCTTCGAAAGTGATTTTTTTAAGACGTTTATTTAGTAAATGTAAAAGAAATTTTTTGCATTGCCACGTGCATTATCGGTAAAGAAATTCGAGAAAAGAGTTCGATTTGTAATTGCGATTTCAAATTATATTTTTATATGGTACAAGTATATAATCAAAGGGTATTAGTTTGTAACTTAGTTTCTTCCGATGCAAGATTGGACCGGCTTGATGAGGCAACTACCACAGCCTCATGGAATAATAGACTTCAACAATTATACTGTCGTTTAGAGAGACCCACCAACAAACGAATAGTAGAATACACAAAATTTCTCTATTTCTTCTTTATTCTATAATTGTGAATATCCTCTGTCTGTCTCCTTTATTTTTGAAAGCGTTTCATCTACATTATTTGTGTAATTACAAATAGCTAATGAACTTTCATGCTAGTCTCGGCTACTTCGTATCAGAGCCGCAACGTTTGATATTTCTATTTAAATAACCGCCGTAATAACATTCTTTAATTCGGATAAAATAACTGACTGGAAATGATGTTGGTGCGGAAGATTTGAATTAGTCACTCATCGTAGCCGGTTGCGTCAACCAGCGATATAGAGGGGCGTACCAGGAAATGCAAACAGGATTAAAGAATGGGTCAAAAAACTTCCCAAGGGAAGAGGTGGGACGTGGAACGGTTCGAGTATCTCGATTATTATCACTTTTCAGAATTGTGACAAACTTATGGCAGGTCTTTATAACTATATTAACTTTGCAATGACTAAAAACAACTTGAGAAGCTTTACAAAATTTAGTTTATTTTTACTGCAAGTAAAAATAAACTAAATTTCGTTAGAGTTCGTTTAAGTTATTATTAGTAAGGTGTTTATTTTAAATCTATAAAGCGATTCGCGGAGAAATAAATTCAAATTTAAAATTCCTCAAGTTTCGACCGCTAGAGAATTCATGATCATGGAACCATACTGCATCAATGGATACTGTTGTAATGATAAGTGTTCGGACTGTCAGGAATTTAAGGAGCTAATCAAATGCGATAGAATACCTGACTATAAAGGTCTTACTTAACAATGCGTAGAATACGCAAAAAATCGTAATAAAAAAGCGTATCCACAAAAATATTTTTGTATCATCATTTCTTTTTAAAATTATGCGGCTTTCTTTAACAAAGTGTCTCCTCTAGCTGGCTTTGCGAATGTTTGGAGAGCAGATTGTGATAAAAAAAAACTGCTGACTGCGACATTTTGTTTGAGCGGCTAATAACCTCTTCAGCGTTGATGGATATCCGAACAGAAGTATCCGAGTTTCCTCGTATTTTACTTTCAATTCGATACATTAACACTAATCATTACATTAATTTAATCGTACAATGCAGTAAATCCATAAAATAAATAAATGAATGAATATAAACGAATATATCGGGAACATATTTTTGCACAACGTTATCTAGTCCCAAACTAAGCAAAGCTTGTACTATTGATATTATAGGTACTTGATAAACATACTTAAACGTACTTTTCTTTTGGAAATAAATACATATTATAGATGAACAGGAAAAACACTATGTTCATCACAAAATATATTTCCAGTAGTGGGGATTGAACCCACACCATTTGGCGCGGACCTCGGACTACACGTTTCACCGGCGTAAACTAGAGAAAAATAGTGGTACGACAAGAGGTTATGACGGGGCAGGGTAACGCAACAGCCGTATGAAAAGTAAAGTAACAGCCTAATCATGTCCCACTGCTGGATAAAGGCCCCCATTGTACAGAGGGTATTAGAGCTTAGACCACTGCGAATTGGCAAACTCCACATTACTTCGACATTTTTTTTTATTATTTCGAAAATACGAAGGTTTCCTCACGACGATTTCTTTCACCGCCGACCACGAGAAATTCAGTCAAAATTTCTTCATTCAATACAGGCTTAATTTAGCTCTTATCGAACGTCAAAACAAAAACTACCGCCGGCTCACTAAACTAGACCTGATCAGAGAGGAACTCTGAAAGAAACTCGGTCATCTTTTTAATCATCGGGATTTGAACTCGGGTTGCTCGAGTATATCGAGTTAAAATCGAGCGGCCGGACACTGGGCTATAGCGGGTCCGTCCACTCGATAGGGATAGAGCATCCCGTTCGCGGTGTGGATTGTATAGGGGTCCGTACGCATGCGCGCCCAGGGCGTGTCCGTCTCGGCGGCGCTCGACGCCAGTCCAGCTCCCGGCACACGATCCAGCGGCCCACTCCACCACCGCGGCGCTACCGGTAAACGATTCTTTACTATCCACCATTCAAATGTCGTAACCCAAAGTCGAAATTACTCCGTCGCTTTATATGTTTGTTGTTTGTGGATTGTTTTATGCTATCGATACACGTCACCGGTGCCCTGAATTCGATATGTTCAGTGGTGAGCCGGCGTGGAACTAACCGGTCCCGTTCTCTCTCTTTTTCCGCATGTCCACGAGCCACTCACACTTGTATGGGTCGTTTTTCCGCGTCAATTAAGTTCCCTAACCATTTCCGTCTGTATTTCTAATATTAGCTTATCATTCATGTGCATGCTTAGTTGTTTCGAGCCGGCTCATTTGTCTCCAGCCGTATTTGTATCGATAGTTTGTTCGGATGCCGGTTCTGTCGTTGAAGCATCGTCTGTAATAAGATATGCTATAGATATTACGCTCCGAATTAATTCACTGTCATGACCCGGTTCATTGGTTTTTAACAATTGCAATAATGTTTATTGTATCTTTACCGTTCCTTCTGTGTTTTTATCATCATCACAAATCATCTAGTTTGTGCTTATGCCTGTAGAGTATTCAGTATTTGTAGTAGTAATCGATTGTTTTTATTACTTTTTTGTGCCCTTACATATTTTACTAATTTACC